AGCTGGGAAAGGAGGTGGAGACATGGCCCTTGCCTGATAGTCTAGTGAGAAAGGCAAATAAAAGTAAATAGGAAATGACGATTTCCTGGGAGGGTCACCTGCCATGGGGGTGAGTACTGGGTTCTGTGCAGAGAGGAAGGGGTGGATCCAGCCTGGAAGGCAGAGAAGGCTCCGGTGAATTGGTGACAGTCACTGAGGAGCCCTGCCAGCGAATGAGGACTAGCCAGTTGAAGCAGGGGGACACCCCCAGCAGGCAGAGTGGCCCAGCTGATAGTTATTGCTCAGGTAGCTCATTGTGTTCACTAGATCCTTAATTCTCCAAGATCATTATCAGCTTAGGAATCAAAAGTTCTGCAGTTGTGAGATTCCCTGAAGGAATAACCAGATTGTCAGGTTCAATTAGTGACTGATAGAAGGGGAAAGAGAACAGGGCCTTTAAAGAATCATCTATCCATGTTGCTGCACGTATATCCAGCCTGTTTCTTCTAACTGCTGCATCATGTTTCATAGTGTGTGCCTACCACATTTAACTTATTCATTCCCCAGTGATGGACACTTGATTGTCTGCAACTCCCCACTACCACAGAATGCAGTGCTGAACGTCCCGTGTGTTGCCCTTTGTGGATTTGTGTAAGAATTTCTCTGGGACATCTATACGCAGGAGGAGAAGTGCTGGGCTATAGGGTAATGTACTTTGATTTGACAAAAGTATTATAAAATTAGCTTCCAGATGGCTGCACTAGTCTCTCCCCTAACAGTGCATGAAGAGTCTCAGAACCCTATGTCCTCACCAACCCTTGTCATTTTTCAGCTTTCTAACTTTAGTTAATATGTTGAATTTGAAGTGATATCTCATTCTAATTTGCATTTCTCTAATAACAAATGAGCTTGAGGCTATCTGTTAGTATACTTTTTGTTTGTTTTATCCTCTGGAAACTGACTATTAAGTTTGCCTAATTTTTCTCTTGGGTTGCTAAAACCGGAGTTGAGTGCTTCTACAGACAGCTACCTGGGAGTCAATATAGGAAAGTGAGGGGCAATGTAGCAGATGATAAGAACATGGACTTTGTGGAAAGGCTGCCATGATTGATCCCACCTCCATCTCTTATAGCTGAATGACTTTGGACAAGTTACTTAACCTCTCAGTGCTTCACTTTTCTTATGTGTAACCTACCTCATGGGGTTGTTGTGAAGATTAAATGTGTTAAAATATATAGTGTTTAAAATATCATCGGCATATAAGAAGTATATACAAATGTCAGCTTTCATTATTAAACTACTGTCTTCCTCTTACTTAGCCATACACTATACCCTTGAGAAAATATATACTTGTACTAGCAGGCAGTAAGGAATAAGGCAGAGAGAAAATAGCTCTCAGCCTAGAATCAAAGCTTATCAGTCCTACTCACATGTGTAACTTACTGAGATCTTGGGCTCTCTGGACCTGTATTCTCCTGCCTGCCTGTCCCCAGCTCCAGCACAGCTAGCTTTGTCCTGTTGCTGCTCCTCTGTGAGCCTGTCAGCTTGGTGCTATCTATCCTTTGCAAACTTCACCTTCAGTGTTGTTTGCAAGGCTCAGTCCTTTTGGTGTGTCAATCACTCATGGGGAGATAAGAACAGAACAGATTTTGATGGCCACACGGCCACACGAAGGCAAGCATTGGTGCTAGAGCCAAATCACTAACGGACAAACCCCCATTCTCTTGGGCTACTCTAAACATTTGTTTCTCCAGTTAGTAAGGGAAATAGTGCATCTGGATATTATCTCTAGCCTTTGAGGTTGATATTGGCATTGGTAGTCATCTAATTGGTAGGTATTGAATACCAGAGCTGGCTGGAAGAAATATTCTTAAGCCTTTGCTTAGTGAATACCTGTGGAGTAGTCAGTGTAGCTCCTTTGAGTGGAGATGTTTTCATGGTGTCCTCAGCCCCCTTTAATCCAGCTGTTAAAACTATGAAGGCCTAGGTCATATACCATAGCTCATTTGGTACCAGCTACTTCAATTTAAGGCATAATGCCTAAACTACAAAATGTCAGTCAGTATGCCAGCACCAGAACAGAGGGGAGGCTGCAGTTGTCTTCTGGTGAATCACCTTGGATAGCAGTGCCTGCTCCCTCTGTGCCATCAGATTCTAATTTTATGGCTGACCCTGTACTCCTCTTCTCATCCAGGTGGGTCAGCTCATCCTCTCCCCATGGAATTCACCTTCTCCCAAAAGCAATTCTAAATTTGTGGATTTGTTTCTACTTCAGAAAAAAATGTCAAAGAGGCAGAAATCACTTCATTTCCAGTCTCTTCACTATTGCTCCAGGCTACTGCTTTGTTTGCCTTGCCCTATGGTACCAGAGTATTCCTTGGTTTCTGGTTCCTTACTTTGTTTGTGGTTTACTATTTTTGCCTCAGTCTCCAGTCCTTGCCATCTGACTTGGCTTCTGACTCTCTGAATCACATCTCTGCTGCCTGGTCTCTGTCCCCTTGGTTTTATTTTGACTATGCAATTCTTGGCACTCACAGCCTTGCCTTAGCTTTCACCTGGCTAGTTTCCTACTCTGTTTCTGCCTGGTGCAGCCCACAGGTCCATGAAATCATTATAGTCATGTAGCCCTCCAGCCTGATCTGGTCTGGCTTCTCCAAGAATGGCCTGAGCCCTGTGGAACTCTGGGTTGAATGTACGTGATGGCTGCTAACTACCAGCCATCTGGCAAGGTGTGTGGTGCCACTCTAGGCCACTGAGCAGCCATGGTTCCATTAGTCTTAGCTATATCTCACAGTGGGTCTGCTGTCTTTTGAATTTTATTAAAAGTGAAGGGGATCTTCTCTGAGGTTGCAGAATGAGTTACTAGCCTAGAATGCTAACCCTATTTGGCCTTCAAGTTTGTGAAGTGAATTGCCCATTCCTTTTGATTGTGTTAGCAGCCCCAAGGCTGAGTCTAGTCACTCTCCTCTCCCCATCCTGCCAGACCACTGTCTGCCCTCCAGGGCCAAGGACAGCATACTTGGTTGCTTGGACACGTCTTGCAGCCTGCAAATTGGACAGATAGAATCAATACTCATGAACCTGAAGAGGCCCAGGTAGCACAGTTAGTGACACTAGCTGCCTGGAGGGACAGCCTGCCATGGAAGGGGGTGTGATTGAACAGTGATTGGATACAACAGCTGAGGATTAACCAAATTATGTCCCTTTGAGTTTAGATTGACAAACCTTTCTGTCTTAGACTTTAAAGCAAGCTAACTTGTACAGAATGTAGAAGAGCTGCCTTCTTAATATGGGGCTATATCAGCATGAATCCTGGGGCTGGTCAAGAACAATCTGGTGTGTACTTTGGCCCAGACTCATGTTATTATCACTAGGATTACATGAACAAAGGGATGAAAACTCATATTTGTGCAACTACTTCTATGTGCTAGGCACCATGGAGTTTTACATTCTCATCTCAGCCTACAAGGAAGGCATCATTATCTCTATTATTTTGGTAAGGAAATAGGGTCTTCAGAGGTGTACTAAGTTGTCCAAAACTATAGTCAGTAAATGATAGAGCTTTGATTTGTACCCACGTCTCTCTATGCTTATTATGAAATGGCATATTGTCTTTCCAATTTAAGTGTCTTAGTTCATACTTCTCTTGATTTCCCTACAGCCTACAGGGTCAAGCACATAGAAGTAATAACTAACACTTGTTGATCACTTACTATATGTCAGTAACTATTCTAAGCACTTTATGTACTTTAATACAGCCAGGTGAACTAGATACTTTTATTATCCTGGATAATTATAACATTGCAAAATGATGATTTTCTGATTTCCTCTTTCCTTCTACATTTATTACTTTCTACAGTAAGGAAGAGTTTTCCCTTCTCCCCCTTTGACTTATTATTTTCAATATGGACTCCTGGAATCTTATTTTACTCAGTGGGTTGTAATCCATTGCTGTCATTATTCATGTTGTTGCTTAGATTGTCCCAGATTTTAAAGCCTATGTTCTTAAACTCTGTACCACACTACCTCTTTATCAGATATTACTTCTCAATGCCTTCAGTTAGTTTGCCTATCTATAACAACCCTTTTGTGCCCTCTTGGCTTTTAATGTAGGAAACAGGAAGACTACTGCCAATCTTATCCAAATTGTGTATAAACTAGGAGTAAACAGTCTGCATGTGAGAACCTGGCAAATTCTGCTATGAATTAAATATATGAGTTTTAGATATGGATTTTAGTTGCTTAAAGACCTTTTTCATTTCTCTTTGGGATCTTAATCCATATCCTGAATAATTTACCTGTGACAGTCGCCCACCAGGAGATCCTTTTAGGTATGGTAAGTAGACATAGGAGACTCACCTGACCATGTTAGATCAGATGTGAAAGAACCTCAGCTACTTGGGAGATGGATTCTGGTTCTTTTACTTCCAAGGGCTGTGTGTTTGAATTACTGAAATTCATTCATCCATTCAGCAAATAAGTGAGCCAGCATTAGCCTAGCACCTGGAACAGTGACTAGAACATAGCATTGGATAAGTAATTGTTAAATAAACACTTTGCCTTTTATAGTTGTGGAAAATGAGCCTTAGAGAGATGTTAAATAACTTGTCCAAAGTCTCTCAGCCAGTAGGTTTCAGGACCAACTTTTCTCCTTCTGCCTTTGATACTTGCAGAGTTAATGTTATTTTTTTTTTTTAATATATTTTATTGATTTTTTACAGAGAGGGAGATAGAGAGCTAGAAACGTCGATGAGAGAGAAACACCGACCAGCTGCCTCTTGCACACCCCTACTGGGGATGTGCCTGCAACCAAGGTACATGCCCTTGACCGGAATCGAACCTGGGACCCTTCAGTCCGCAGACCGATGCTCTACCACTGAGCCAAACCGGCTTTGGCAGTGTTAATGTTCTTTACACTGTATCATTCATGAGTAGAGGCAAATCTAATCCTCAAACATGCTTCAGAATCATACTTCCTGGGTCTTTCCTGCTTTTGACACTGTTTTTCTGATTTTTCCCAGTGTGGTGCAGGTTCTGCTTGCTGCTGGTGCTGACCCAAACCTCGGAGACAATTTCAGCAGTGTTTACAAGACTGCCAAGGAGCAGGGAATCCATTCTTTGGAAGGTAAGGGCGAGCTACTCTGCTGTTCTGAGCATTGTCCTCCCTGTGGCTTCCAAGCAGTCTTGCTCTGTGCCAGCTTTACCAGCAACTCAGAGTGAGGGCCTGCAAGTCCCTTATCCTCTGGAAACTCATGGAGAACCCAAAAATCTTGGAACAGATGGTTATCACAGCCCTTTTGGGCTCTATTATTTATGTCACTTCAGAAGTCTTGGGGAATAAATTAGAGGCCTGATTTCATGAATGGAATGGGGGGTGGGGGAGGCCTTCCACTGGTGTTTTCCCAAAAGCACCTCAGCCTGTGGGACCTCAGATGAGAGGACAGTGGAGCAGTTTTCCATAAAATAATTAAGCCAACTACATGGAATGTGGATTTGTTCTTCCTCTATTTCCTGTAGACTTACCCTCTGCCAGAACTAGAAAGCAACCTTACTGGTTTCCTCAACCTCAGAAATCCTCCAATACTACTCTGAATACTGCTTTTTTCCTCCTCCCGAATGTAAAATACAATTCCCCCAGAGTGGAATGGCCCCTCAACTTATTGTGTAACCCAGGACAAATAGCGGACCTTCTCTATGCCTTGATGCCTATGCTTATAAAATGGGGTAGTCATCAGTATCTGCCAGGGGTGTTGTATAGGTGGTTGTTTAGACTTCTTCAAAAGAAAGCAGCAGTGTGCATCTGTACCAGAGCTTGGTCACGTGTCTATTGGAGGGTGCCTGGGCAAGTCTGTGTTGTCTCTGGTGAGTAGCTCTTCCAAAGTGAGATCGAGAAAATGGCAGCTTGCTTTGGCTGCAGTCAGAAATGAATATTTTACATTTGAGTTTTTGCTTGTCTAGACTGGCCCCCCTGCCTGGCCATTACCCCGGACCACTCGCAGAGGCTGAGATCACTCTGTTTCTAACAACAGGGCAGCTGAGCAAGTGGCTGCTTTAGGGTTGGTAGTGATGGCAGGGAGACAGATATCCATGCTGACTGCCTAAAGATCAGAACACTGACCTGGAGGGAGGTTCAGCCAAGGGGAGCAAGAGATGTCAGAGCTGATGTGGGTGTGGTAGTCCAGAAAACGGAGGTGTCATGCTGCCCCAGCAAGATTTCTCAAATTGGCAGCATGAGGGGAATGTCAAGAGCATCAGAGCATTGCTGCCCTGATGAAGTGTGAAGTTGCCCTTCCCCGCCTCTTCACCTCTCTTATGCCACTTCTTCTGTCAGACGCCTCCATTCTGCAGCTAGTTCCTCCACAGAGCCTTTCCTATCCTTGGCAATAATTGCAACCTGCTCTCAGCTACTCTTTTGAATATTCTTTAAATCTTGCCTTTTGTATGGTTTTTGAACTCTCCTCTGCCCATGTCGTTTTTTTCCTCCTTAGCTGACAGTTCCATGTGTAGGCTATGACCTATGCCTCCTTGGAATCCCGGCTGAATTGGAGGAATTATGCTCACTTTATATTTCATGCAGAGGAGAATTTCATGAGTGCCAAACTTGCCCTACAGTTGCAGTTTGATATGAGGGCACTCTACTTATGGGCTGTCTTCTCACTCAGACACAGCTTAATGCCTGCTTTAGCTCTGTCTTCTGTTCAGATGCTCTTACCAAAAAGCAAGGGGGAGCATTTGCTGAGAGGGAGGGCCATGAAGAAGGGAAGGGATTGTTTGAGTGCCTTCTCACATGTTCTCAGGACCCCAACAGAGCTCAGTAAGCATTTTTTATTTCATAGATATCAGAGCTGTGAAGCCATCTAGTCCAACCTCTGCTGTTGCATGATTTCTACCCTCTGTCTTCGTTTTGTACTTTTGTGCTTTGATAGTTCTGTCCTGGTTGGTACTACATTCAATATTCTACCATGTTTCCCCGAAAATAAGACATCCTCCGAAAATAAGACCTAGCTCATGGAAAGATAAGACATCCCCTGAAAATAAGACCTAGCGCAACTTTGGGAGAAAAAATTAATATAAGACACTGTCTTATTTTCGGGGAAACAGGATAGATCAGTGGTCAGCAAACTTTTTTTGGAAAAAGCCAGATAGTAAACATTTTAAGCTTTGTGAGCTCTTCATTGTGGTGCAGAAGCAGCCATAGACAATGCATAATTGAATATGCATAGATATATTCCAATAAAACTTGGAACATATCTTTGGCTCAGTGGATAGAGCGTCGGCCTGTGGACTGAAAGGTCCCAGGTTCGATTCTGGTCAAGGGCATGTACCTTGGTTGCGGGCACATCCCCTGTGGGGGGTGTGCAAGAGGCAGCTGATCAATGTTTCTCTCTCATCAATGTTTCTAACTCTCTTTCCCTCTCTCTTCCTCTTTGTAAAAAAATCAATAAAATATATTTTTAAATAAATAAATATCTTAGCTTATTTTGTATGACCTACAAAATTAGGGAATAGGTTTGCTTTTAAAAGCATTTTTTTAATCCTCACCCATATGTTTTTATTTATTTCATTGAAAGAGGGAGAGAGAGACACACATTGGTTGGTGGCCTCCTGTATACTCCCTGACAATACGTGTACTGACTGGGGATTAAACCCACACTTTAGATATGTGCCCTGCCGAAGCCGGTTTGGCTCAGTGGTAGAGCGTCGGTCTGTGGACAGAAAGGTCCCAGGTTCGATTCCGGTCAAGGGCATGTACATTGGTTGCGGGCACATCCCCAGTGGGGGGCGTGCAGGAGGCAGCTGGTCGATGTTTCTCTCTCATCGGCATTTCTAGCTCTCTATCTCTCCCTTCCTCTCTGTAAAAAATCAATAAAAATATATTTAGATATGTGCCCTGATCGAGAATCAAACACACAATGTTTTTGGTATATGGGATGATGTTCTAATCAACTGAGCCACCTGGCCAGGGCCTAGTGAAAAGGCTTTCTATGAACTTACTTGTTCATTCAAAAATAGTTTAGCCGAAACCGGTTTGGCTCAGCCGAAACCGGTTTGGCTCAGCCGAAACCGGTTTGGCTCAGTGGTAGAGCGTCGGTCTGCGGACTGAAAGGTCCCAGGTTCGATTTCGGTCAAGGGCATGTACGTTGGCTGCGGGCACATCCCCAGTAGGGGATGTGCAGGAGGCGGCTGGTTGATGTTTCTCTCTCATTGTTTCTGGCTCTCTGTCTCTCTCCCTTCCTAAAAAAAAAAAAAAAAAAAAATCAATAAAAAAATAGTTTTAATTTTTTTTTTTTAAATATGTTTTTATTGGTTTTAGAGAGAGGAAGAGGGAGAGAGATAAACATCAATCAGCTGCCTCCTGCACACTCCCCACCAGGGATCGAGCTCACATTCCATGCATTTGCCCTGATTGGGAATGAACTAGTGACCCCTTGGTGTATGGGATGACACTCAATCGACTGAAAATTTTTTATTGATTACATGTCTACCTAGCAGTCACTATTTTAGACACTTGATTTAGTCAAGTTCCCTGCCATCAGGTACTATACATGCTAGTCTTTGATTAAAATGTTTATAAAGACTATATTCAAGTATAGAGCCCTAGAGCAGATGGTCAGGACAAATTTGAAGCATCTTTTGATATTCACAACTATAAATCTTCCAAACTTTATTCTTTTCTAGCCTCATTTCTCTATCATGTCCACAAAATTCTAAAGAGATTTTCTCAGATTTCTCGCTAAAATATAAATATGTTTAGCAGTTGTCGTATTTCTTGCCCAGGAACCCTTTCTCAGGAGGATGTTAAGTAATTTTGGCAATGTCTGGTCACCTCCTTAGGGAACCCATACTGGTAAGAGCTGCTTAAAAAAAAACAACACTCTAGAAATTTTGTCAGGAATCATTGATAACTCATTGTTCTGTAGCTTACAAGATTGACCCCTTTGTGCACTTTTTAAAAAAATTCCAGACTACCCTTGCCTACCAGTTTTCTGGCAGCTCATCTGATTTTCCCTGGCATGTCAGTTTGGATGTATTCTGCTATCCAAATTCATGGACTCTATGGAGTGATAGTCCTTTCGAATCATCTCAGGGCCTTTAGTTCCTTCTTAGCCATATTTCCCTCTCCTTTTTCCATTTATAGATATTTTATTTTTTCATCCATTTAACCAATATTTATTGGTTGCCTTCTGTATGCAAGCACTGAACCCAGCTTTTGTTCATTCTCTTTGATGAAGTAGATGGAAACCAAAGAATCCTGTTGTTCTCTTTTCTTCCAATGAGACTGACCTTTTCACAGGCAATTACCTGACTTATGGGAATGTGGAGGAGGGTAGATTAGAACAAAAGGTGTAAGCCCCTTGCCCAGAGTGTGTCTGGGCAAATTCAGAGGAAAATCACAAGGTCAAGAAAAATAGGCAGTCCTTCACTTTTGGAGCATAGAGTCAGTAACAAAGTCCATCAAATTTCTAGTAGATATTTCTATGGGCCTCAGCCTGTGCTCAGTGCTAAAGGGAGGTGGTTAAGTTATAATTTGTGATCTTGGCAAGACCTCACTAAAACCCAATAATATATCCTTTGTCTATCATATCATATTGTGCCAATCAAGAAATAAATATGTGATGTGTGAATTGTAAAGTGTTCTACAGTTGTAATTGCTTATTAGTCTTATTTATTTGTAATCCAGCATGCATTTACTGAGTATCAGGCACTCTGCCAAATGCTGGGAATACAAAAATGAATTTACATGGTCTAGCCCCTCAGTAGTGCTTGCAGTCAAGTAAGACAGACTTATAAACAAGGCACCACAGTGCAGAGTGGTAAATGCAAAGGTACATGTACAAAGGATATTGGTAGCACTGATATAGTTAGTGATAAGCTCTACCTCACGGCAGGCTGGTGTCTGGGAAGTGTCACAGGGTGACTGAATTGGGCCTTAAGGATGAGTCGGAAGTTGCCAGGCAGACAAAGAGGGATGAACCTGCCAGGCAGAGAGAGCAACATATGCAGAGACATGGGGGTGGTGGTGAGGGGTGAGTGACAGCAGGTAGAATCCTCTGTCACATTGCTGAGAAGAATAGCAAGAAATAAGAGTGGAAAGGAAATTGGGGTTCCACATTGGAATGATTT